GATAAGATATTAATGAGCGGTAGGCTTATAAATAGCAAGCTTTGGTGGTACGTTTCGTCTTGAGGATACTTACTTTATTATCATATGTTGTTAGATATTGTTTTCCTTCGTGCATGGTATCCTGTAAAACCTAAGAAATACTACAATCCCGTGACATCTCTATTATTGTCTTCAAAGACAGATTGGCAAGGGATGCGCTTGATTGGTGCCGTGCGTAAAGAACTTGGCATACCAATAGCAAACAATCTTGAATCTACATATCGCGTAAGTTAAGATTTATATTATCTCCATTAAGATATCATACTCACAACTATTTTCTATCGTATAGCCAATAGATCGACCCATTCGCCGGTTCAACCCTCTCCACATTGCCAAATCACTGCAATCACAACTGCCTTTTGCATCCAAACCCAAACTTTTTAAAGCTCGTTCGAAAAAATCTTACCTTCAAAAGCGAGCCGTCGTGTTAGAACCAAAAGAGAAGCAGATATATACACTTATGCAGCAAATACAGACACTCAAGAAGGAAAAGAACAGAAAGAAAAAAGAGAAACAAGCACAGAAAAGAGTTGAGCATGCAAAAAAGTTGGCAAAGGAAGAGAGCAAGACAAGAGAAAAAGAAAAGGAGAGAAGAAAAGACTTCTTCAAAGCTCAGGGTTTGGCTGAAAAGAGGAGTGCAGGAAGTTGGAAAAGCAATGGGACAAGGAATAAGAAAATTCGTACAGAATGAATTTGCTGTTTTTGCTCATGGCAATGTAGACATACGTACGTGACTTGTATCAGTGCGTATTAAAAAATGATTAAATTATATAATACTAATAAACCTATAAACATTCGGTCTGTCTCTAAGCAATTTTATACTGCTAATGTACCAAAAAGCGTGAATTGAAGACAGAAAGAATAACGAGATTTAGTGTGGAATTTGCTCCCAATAGCAAGCTTATGCTAATTCAATCAATGAATAATTGGGCTAACAATACTTCGGGTCGTCTTTTCACCTATGTTTCGAAGCGGAAAAGCCGCGTTTTCCCATTGCATTGAACGAAGATTTCAAAATACAACCAATAATTTAAGTCAGCGTTCTTCTTGTGCGTTTATTAAGTTTTGTGTGCTACAATTTCAAAGTTGAAAAAGTAGTTCGAG